CACTCAGTACCAGAACAACGGTCCCAAGCAGTTCCAAGCTATTTCACTCACCCCTGCATGTTCTGCATGAATCCACACACCCCTGATGTTATCTGTCAAACTTTCATAGCGAATCAAAACAAACATAGTGTAGTAATAGAATTTCAACTAGAATAGGGTACGTTAATCGTTTGCTTGGGACCAATAGGCTACTAAAGTGGTGAGCCAATTTAAAATCGTTAGTTTCGTATTGATTGTTGGTACAACCCCATAGGGCTGTCCCTTTTTTACTCATTCTCGAGATATATGGCATAGCGAGGTTCCCGCATATGAACTTATGCTTACATATTGATTTATCGCAATCAGCATCCTTGAGGTGATGGTAAGTGATAATGAGCGAGAAAGAGAGAGATGGAGGAAACGAGAGAGCGTAATAAAGGTAAATCTTATTACAGTAAACTCGTTTTAAATAGATATTTGCGATCAACGAGTTAAGATAGAATTTTGAGTTACGGTGGTAAATTTTGGAATTTAGCATGGGAAATGGTGTTTTTTTTTAATAATTACTTTATTTGTACAGGCTCAATCGAATAAACTTTACAGATCCCAGTTATCCTTTTCGTTATACATTATGACTGTCTTATATTTAAAGTTAAAGGAACTGGACCGAGTACTCGTGGTTGTTTACGGAGATTTACATTTTTTGGATGGGAAAAGGGAAGAAGGAGGTTTGAAATGTGGTTTACGATACAAATATTTAATTAATCCTTAAACATGAAATTATCTTGAAAACAACATTGAAAAAAAACCCACACGTACAAAATACAAACTAAACACAAGGTTAATCAAACTTACAATCTAAGGTTAATATTCTTATATTAAACATATATGAGTTTCATTACTCCAGATCGCGTCTAGCCAAAATATCTCTAACTGGAACATTAGGTTGTCTACCTCGAGCCCGAAGGGAATCATAAAAATGTGATCTGACTCCACGATACTCCGCACAAGACCAAAGGATGTGATCAGCGTCCTGGCAACCTTGTCCACATTCACAGAGATTACTGTTTCCCAACCCCACACGGAACAAAAGAGCGTTTAGACAGTAGTGATTGGACATGAGACGAGACATCACGCGTATGAAGTCTCAACCCAAGTCCAACCCGTTGAACCATGCAAACTTCGACACCTTAGGGATAATTGAATGTAGGCATCGTCCCAAGCTCCCTTCACTCCATGTTGAAGTGGCTGAATTTCCACCGAGTTAGGGAGAATATTGTGTTAAAGAGAATGAGATTTGAGTGTACCGTAAAACGGGGTAACATTGATTGTTTTTTTAAGTGTATTCTAAATAGCTTTCACAACAATGAATGTTTTTCAAATTTTATATTTTTAAAACAAGTGCTGAGGATTCAAGTATCAATTCGTTAGTAATATCACAGACAAACAGACGTAACTCTTTGAAAAAGTTTTTCTTGAATATATAGTATCTCAAAACATAGGACCTCAGTAACGACATCTCTCGGGCTTCTCTCGGAAAACAAGCTTGCTCGCCAAGTCTCAAACAATATTGCATACAAGTTTGATATAATGTATAGAAACGTCAAAGTGATCCGATGCCAGCGCTGCGGCGAGTAGTTCGCGGAACTGATAATATTCAAATCAATCGTTAAATTCATGAACGAAGATGCAAAATGAAGAGTTACGTCTGTTTGTCTGTGGTAATATGTTTAACGTAAATGAAGGCATTTGTACCATTTTTTTTCAGTTTTGTGGCCGAACTTCAGTTTTTTGATTTGGGGTTACTTTGATAATGCTCGATGAATGTAGGAAAAAAATGGGGGAAACTCAAACAATTTAGTTCTTTAAATATGAAACTTTGAATGAGTATGTAATCAGAAAACATCATAAACAATAAGAATACAACATTGAATTTGTGATGGCTGTATCGGAGATACATTTCATAAGTGATGGTTTGAGTGAATTTTCAAATAGGCAAAAAACACGAAAGTAGTTTTTTAACATGTTTGTAAAATATGTAACACATACATATAAAAACTATATACGATATCAACGGAAATACCCTAAGCTACAATATGGCACACATGTTTCTAATTTGGAAAAAGCGCAGCGAGTAAATTCAATCTCTATATTATACTATCAAAGTTACCCGCATTATCAAAGATACCCCGTTTTATGGTACTTGAAACGTGATCTGATTTCAATATAAATAATTTATTGATTCATAAAAATAACTGCTAATGAGCCGCCGTTATCGCCTGTAATGGTGAATTTGCTTTGCAGACGTTATCGACGTTTATCGATTAACATTCCGAACACGATGCAAACTTGCAGTGCCATCATATCTCAGCCATTTATTGACGAATTTAAAATATATATATATATATATCTATATAAATGTTTACCAAATTGTATTGTTAATTATTCTTGTTTCAACTTATCCTAAATTATTGTAATTATTGAGCCTTGGCATCTGAACGGAATCATCTATCTCCAGATTTTTTTTTTGTTTTAACTCAAAGGATTTAGATAGAAGCCCACGTCACACACGAATGAAAACCATCACGATATGGAACGATGAAGTCAGCTCTTTTAAAACTTGGAGATCATTGGGAAAGTCGAAAACAGGCGTTTTTCGTATAAACGCGTGTATGATGTTTTCCTGTCGACTTAGTTGTGGTAATGTGGCTCTAGTTAACATTATTATTATAAGATCTAATTTGTTTTAAGAAACGAGTTTTCTTACTTTAGAGGGGTAAATCAACAATTACACTAATTATTCAATTCACAGATACCAAAAGCTATAGCAATTTGTTTTTTCAGGAACATTTTTTTTTTGACTCGCTTATCGATATTAAGGTAAAGCATTTGCCGGTTAAAAAACGAGTGTGTTGATTTGAATGTTTCCCACTGTTTATCAATTTGTTGTTGTATTTGTACTATGAGTTCAGATTGATCACTGTTGTTCAGTTTTAGAGATGATTATCATCAAGGTTTAACGTTATTCGTGATTTATTTGAAGAGCAACGTGACCTTCACCATTTTTATTCATATTACAATCACCAATACCACAGAGAACGCCAGTCGACTTGTAACACTCGATTGAAATCTTTGAACGTAGCCCTATCAATTTCCCCTAAAACGAACGACCGCAATTGTCGGCTTCGATGCAACGACTTTGGGAATATCCCTTCCCGTTGAGAGTATTCATCACGATCGTTTGGATTTCTCGGGTGACGCACATGGCCCGAGCTTCTTATCTACCTTCATTAGGGTGACAATGAAAAAACAAATTTAAACGTACAACAACTAATCATTGCCTAAAAAATACCCTATGCAATATTTGAGCTCTATCGGACATGATTTGGAGTGGTGAAAAATCTTCAAACTTCGTACTTGTTGCATATGAAAAATCTTCTCTGAGTGACAAAAACGTACCCCTACAAATGAAATGTAAGCAGTCGAAAATTATTGCTTGATGCCAAATGTCTTAAAAATGCATGAATTGTCGTGATTTAGTGTTGACTCATCAAAGTTCATACTTTGACGATTATGCGCCACCCCTAATCATGTCCGATAGATCCCAAATTTTACCTATGGTCTTTTTTCGAGACAGTGAATATTTTATAAATATATGGTCGGCTTGAAAAATGCCATGGTCACTTTTTCCCCATACTTTTCATTGGCACCCTAACCTACATAGATGCGATTCTTAAGATGACGTGTCTCTCAGCAAAACACAAATACAAATGAGCAATTTAGTTGAAACATGGGCTAACTGTGCTAAGTTACCTATGTTAAAGGTAACCAAAACAAGTCGAACTTGTGGCTGACTAATTTGTCCCTTAAGGGAAAGCTTACCGCACCGAACAAATAATTACGTTTTTATTTTTCTAAAAATATTGCAAAAAATTATCAAACATCTAAGAAAATCATTTTTTTTTTCTACGTGTATAATCTTTTTCCTATGTCATCATGGTACAAAGTTGGACTCTTAAAACCGCCAAAATTGTCCACTCGATGTAGTTTAGAGTTCAACTATTTTTCGGATGAGATAGAAAACACGATTTTTTTTTCAGAAATTTAAAGAAAAACCAGATTTTTTTTGGATTTTTGACATCTTTTTCCAATTTTTAGAAAAACCTCCACACACTGAAACTGAAACGACACATGATAGGAAGTGTTCATTAATAACAACGTAGACAGCTAGGAGGGGGGGGGGGTTGTAAATTATCCACGCTCCATACAATTTTACAGGGGGAGGGGGTCAAGAATCCCAAAAAACTGTCTACGTAATTAATGAATAGCCCCTTACGTGTAAGCGTGGTGCACAAGCTACGGCACTACAAGGGGAAGCTCACCGCTCCGAAAAAAATAATTACGTTTTGATTTTTCTAAAAATATTGGAAAAAGATATCAAAATTCTAAGAAAATCACATATTTTTTAATTTTTCAAAGAAAATTCACGTGAAAAAACATTTTTTATAAGTCATTATGGCATAAAGTTGGACTCGAAAAACCACAAAACATCGACTTTTCGGTTTTGCTGAGAGTCCATTTTTTTTTCATGATGAGATAGAAAAAAAATTTTACATGTAATTTTTGAGAAAAATCTAAGGAACAAACTGATTTGCTTTGATTTTTGATATTTTTTCCCAATATTTTTAAAGAAATAAAAATGTACCGAAAATATTTTTTTTATTTTCGGGCCGGTAAGCTTCCCCACAAATGTACCAGTTACCAGCATACAAGATTTAAACGCTGTGCTGCCATAATTGGTACCATTTCGAACATGGAACAGTGCCATAGCATAACATCAACCCTATTTCCCTATTCGAAAAATCCCACTATTCTCTCAACGGATACTATTTCCAACAATTCGCTGCGGATGTGTCCATAGCACGCTCACACATACACAGCTTCACAGTGCCATCCAGTTCAGCCGGTCGATCAAGCAGCAGCATCGCAGTTCGCCTTAGACACAAATAGTAGGCTGGTGACTGTGTTAGCGTTCAGTTCGTTTTGCGCGTGAGAAAAGATCACTCGTGGAGATCAATTTCAATTGCTGGGTGACGGAATCCACTGAACAAACATTTGTTGATCGCTTTGTCCAAAAGTTTTACCGGAGGAGACTGGTGCAACCAGTCGAACTATTGTTGTGCACCGATATCGATATCGGAGGTGATCATGAAGCTGCTCCTCGTGTTAAGCGGTAAGAATGGTTTTTAGTTCGGTCTGTTTGCAACGAAAAGAACTAGCCACAGGCGAGGGCCACGGACTGGACAGATGGGTTTTCCCCACGGCTGTTATTGCGATGTTCTAGGTAGAACAAACGTTATTGATACCGGGCGGAACGTTGATGTTGGAACAAGCTTATCAATGTTGACACTCTGGGTAGACCTTTTTGTTGGCCTAGGGATCACGAACGAATCAACACGGTAGGTATATAGAAAGCAAAGACAATAATGCGAAGAAAGATGAAAGCAATCAAGCTAATCGCTTCGTTCGCGGGGAATTCCCGACATAGTGGTCTTATCAAATGTGGCGAGTAGGCAACTATTCGACTCGACTGGATTATGGCTGGCGAATGGTTTTGCACAAATTAATATAGACTTTGGTAAAATGTTGGGGCCTCCCTTTCCTCAGTCTATAAAGGCACAGCTGTCATGCTGGAGGTAGCTGGGTTCGATTCCCGGTTCGGTCTAGGAATTTTTCGGGTTGGAAAATTTCACGACTTCCAGTATGATTGTTGTACTTGCCACATAATAATACGAATGCAAAAATGGAACAGGCATCGACAAAAGCTCTCAATTAATAACTGTGAAAGTGCATCTAGAACACTAAGTTGAGAGCACGCAATACGCTAATATGTGATAAGCAATAAGCTTGAAATGGGAAGAAGAAGAAGAAGTTTGGTAAAATGGTAGCAAAATTTTAATATTTTTAGCCACTTGAGTGAGTATCAATTAAAAACGGGAAATGATAAATTCTCGAGTAACATTTGAAATGGGCCTATATCCAAAACGTAAACAAACCAGAAAATGAATGTTAAATTTTTCCGCCACTATTCAATTCATATTTAAGAAAATTGAAGTATTTTAAGCTGCCACCACCGGTGTTAAAAACAGCACTTTCGCCTTTCGTTCCTCACAGCAGCGTAAATCCCCATGAACCACGAAACACACTCTAGCTGCTCCAACTAGAGGGATATCAGCAGAGAAAGCCTTCGTCCACTTTCCATCACCAATCACTCGTGACGCAACGGCTTCAGTTCGCCAGTACACAGTCTACCAACATTTTGTTAAACGGCAACCATCCCACATTGCGCTCCAGGATGCAATCGGGTCAATTTTTCTCCGAGCAACTATGAGATTAATTGAAAAATCATCCATTTCGATTTTACCCCGCCCACTAAGGTTTCAAGTATCGGGAAAGCTTTCTTAAGATGGCCTGCTGATAACTATCGATAAAAGATTTGAGAAGCTACCGATAATGAAAAGAATAATCTGGCCACCCTGTTGCCGGTAAACGGGGGTCTCTATGGCAACGCTTCATAAACACACACCGGCAACTCTCCACTCAATGTACGACTTACCTTGTGAAGAGCTGGTCCTAAAGTCAACTACTGCGTTCTCCAAAGTGAGGGCGTTTAGGTTCTAAAAAAGGAGAATTTTGAGGGATTTTTGGTAAAGTGATAAAAAGTAAAATGTAACAATCGCATATTTATAAGGCTTTTTCTCATGTACGAATGATCAACCTTACTTTACCTGTCGTCACCGGAGGATTCGACATCAGAGTGCTTCACAATTTGCTGCACGCGCCATCCTGTTTGGCATGCAACTGCGAAATGTCCTCGTTTTCCACATTTATCGGACGTTCTGGATAACGCGGGGCATTGCGGGTTCCGATGAGAAACGTTGTTGCACCTAGGGTAACGCGTCTGACGCCCTTGTGTTCGTAGGCTGGGCTGATTATCTCTCGATTAAAGATTGGACCTACCTCTGTCCATCTCGACGGGTTCAACCGGCGCTCTTATTCTTGCACGGAATCCGAGTTTGTACGACGATGCTTAGCGAATGGGTAACTAGTCTCTTGGTGAGAATTGGTCCTCTTGTAACTCGGTTTTGGTTTTGGTCACTGGAGCTGTAACCACACAACGCACGTGAAATGCGACTGTTGATTCGTCTTTTCCTTGCTTCATCTTCAAGAAGGCTCGGTGCACTGCTGCTGTGTCTGTCATTGAGCGTAAATGTTTCTCAATGTTTTCGACAAATACTTTATAACAGCGCGGATAAGCCAGGCTGGGACGTAGGTTAATGGCTTTGACGATCGCCTGCAGCTCCTGCCCGAGGGATAGGTAGGGAAGCTTAACCTTGTAAACCGGATCGTTTGCATTATGTAAAGGTACTGTAACCTCGAAATTCTCGATGAACTCGTACCATTCAGCCCGCATTTTATTCGGGCGGACATCGCCGGGAAAAGGCTTGATGTGCGCTGGGCTCACGGACGTATACAAACCCAGTGGCTTAGACGGTTCGTGGTTGAAATTCCAGCTTTGGTCGGCTTCGTGATGTACTGGCTGCGAGGTACCAGACTGGAGTAGAGTAATAGCATAGAGGTAACTCTAAGACTAGAAGGTCCCGAAATAACGTGCTCAACTTTTTGGCTCAGCTCTGGTACTCTCTTCGGTCCCAAGCTAATCGATTCACCCCTCGAAACATAGGAAAAACCAATAACCCCTCATTTTATCTGCCAAACTTTCATAGCGAATCAAAACAAACATTGCGTAGTACTAGAATTTCAACTAGAATGGGGTACGTTAATCGTTTGCTTGGGACCAATAGGCTAGTCAAGTAGTGAGCAAATTTAAAATCGTTAGTTTCGTATTGATTGTTGGTAATAGCCTTTGATAGATCCACGAGCACTTTTTCAATTTGTGTCATTCGTTTGCTTGTGCTGTCTTTTTCCGGGTTTGTCTGCTTAGCGGTGTTACCTCCACGACTCGCATCAGGTTCTTTCACCTTCGATGGTGTGACCAGTTCTCCACCGTCACTGGTGGGGCTAATGCTTGTTGTGCTGTAGGTGCTGCTACGATCGGTGTCTTCGGCCTCACTTTCTTCGTGGTTACTGCTGTTGCTGAAGTTCGCTGAATGTTCGCTACAGTTATCATTGTGGCTCGTGCCACCATCGACGCTGTTAGGATTTGCTGCTCGCTCCAGTTCACGATCGCTCGAATAACCCTCACGGTCTTCTTTCGGCCGAACGTACTTATCGTTGTTTGACATTGCTGAAACTTTGACTTTGTTGGAGCTGATACAGATTTCGAAATATTGCCTGCAATTGATAATAACAAAAGAAGATCCCGTAAAGAAACAAAGTCAATGATTTGAGAAATTATATGTATTAGATAGTGCTGGTAAAATGTATGCGTTATTTTTGTTTTTTTTTTTGTTATTGTTTTGAAACGATTACGGTGGATTTTGAAGGTTCTGTAGTGGCGTCATTAGCAGTTTAAATTCTTTTTTTTTTTGCGGTGGCATCGTTTTGAAACGATTTAGGTAGATTTTGCGTTTTCTTTAATGGCGTCGATTTGAAACGATTAAGGCAGGCTTGGCAGTTTTTTTTTCGCAATGACGTGGTTAATAAACAAGTCAACCAAATCTAGCGATTTCTATTTTTTTGCGGTGCGTGAGGGCTACGGATATTCTAATCCGATTGATGCTAGCGTGGCTTCTTTAAGATAGAAAACCGAATGAGTTTATGGAAGATTCCGTATGGCTTAATTAAACCTGGCAGGATCGCCAATGTGCGACTTACCTTGTGAAGAGCTGGTCCGAAAGTCAACTAGTGCGTTCTCCAAAGTGAGGGCGTTTAGGTTCTCGTCACCGGAGGATTCGATATCAGAGTGCTTCACAATTTGCTGCACGCGAGAGGGACATGTGTGGCATATATTAGCGCTAGTGTAAGCAGGTCTTAACTTGACGCTTAACGAGTCAGAAAGCCGTTTGTGCAGCCCTCCGTTGTAAGCGCAACAGTTCAATGCCGGTAAACGGGGTTCTCTATGGTAACACTTCATAAACACACATGGGCAACTCTCCACCCACTTTCGAAACAGCTTTTGACAAGCCGCACACATGCCCAAATAAAAATAACCATAAGAAAGAGCTTAAGGTTTGAGGTCAAGCTTTCAATGGTTTAATTCAAAATCGTAGACTAACCGTTAAATAACCACGTGTTGCCTCTCACCGAGAGTCTCAAAATATGTTGCGAGACAGCGCTGGCCGTGCTGCCAATATAAAGGTAAAAAACGCAACCATCATATTAATAGCATTCAAATAGAGATTGGGAAAGCCAAGATCCCGATGGCCTCATCAGACATGTTCGGAATGCCTTCGAGGACATGATCAGAACCTTATTTGAGTCAAAATTAATATTACGACCTATGAAGCCATATGAGACTTCGAAAGAAGATCATTTGTGATCACATTTATTCTTCAGAGTCAAAATGGTCACACACGCACATGTTCTGCGTATCCCCCGAGAAGGGACGAGAATCTAACAACAAGATGATTAGTGATCATATTTAGTGTTCACCATTACATAATGAGTACCCAGAACTACATTGAATATTATCGCACTGATGATTTCTCTCTGTGTATGTGTGTGTGTTTTTTTTTATAGTAAGGTTTAGGAAAGCTTCAAAAAGTCTGGCCTGTAGTGAAGTTGGCACGGTGTGGTATCCACTAGTTGCCTAGTGCAGCTCCACTAAAACACATTCCTTACTCTCTCCTACCGCTGTGCTCATGCACTTGTCGTACTCTCAGCGCTAGCTGGCGTTGCTAGATCGCTGCTCTTCTCTCCATTTCCGCTGCAGCTCCGACATAATCTGCGTGACTGCTCTGCTTAGTAAATTCCAAGTGCCCTCCTCTCGACACATTTCAACGACGACATTCTCCACGTTAAGGACGGGCATCTCCCTTCGCACTGCCTCGAACCTTGGAAGTCGAAGACCACATGCTCCGGCGTTTCATCGACGTTGCCACACTCCGGACAGAGGGGTGACGCTGCGTGTCAGAACCGATGCAGGTATTTCCTGAAGCATCCGTGGCCAGACAGGAACAGCGTTAGGTGGTAGTTGACTTCTCCGTGTTTTCTGTTCACCCAGGTCGAAAGAATCGGTATTAGTCAATCTGTCCATCTACCGTTCTCCGC